GAGAAGACGGTGATGGGGGGGAGAAGACGGTGATGGAGGGGGGAAGAAGGGAGGGCATAGTTGGAAAAATCAACATCTGAATGGTTTAGTGAGGTATAGGATGCAAAATGGTTAAGAGCCAATTGTCACCATTAAGAGGTTCTATTTTTTTTGCCAAACAACCTCCGCCTCTTACCGATTAAGAGGCTGCCTCTTAATGTCACCATTAAGAGGCAAACAAACAGCCCCTGAGATTCTTTAACAAATTCATCGAGAAAATGGACAGACCCGGGTTTGTTCGTTAAAATTAACGGGCGGACATGAACAATATAAAAGTAAATATGAATAGGTCGGTCCAGCTCGTTTATATTTTACAATTAATATTTTTTTACCATTAATTAAAGTTATACTAGTATGTTTTAAAATTAAATTATTAAAGTTATAAGATGAGAACTTTTTGGTTATTCTTGAGAACCCAAAAAGCTAAAGGGTTGTTTGTTTACCTGAGGTTCAATTCTGAATCATTCAATAAGGCCTTGAACGTTTATTCATGTTAGGCTACCCCAAACCATTCAGAGGCGTCTATGTTCCTAGATTGTCATTCCCACCCTCTCATTCCCCTGTTCATCTCGTCGATTGCCCTATGATTCATTGTTGCTCCTCGCTTACTCCAAACTCTCGATTACAAGTTGGACGTTTCAAGTTTATAGATTTATAAGAGTTACACTCTTTTGTTCTACATTTGGTAATTAATTGCTAGCGATCAAGTTTATATATTTATAAGATTTACACTTTTTAGGCCTGTTAGTCCGTGGGCAAGCCCGACCCGTTTATAAGACCCAAAAAAAGAGTTTGAGTTTACAATATTAGGCCCGTTGGACAAAAAAAACAAGTTAGACACGAATCGAACTTCCGCAAATGATCACCTCTAAATAAAGCAATCGTTTTTTGGTGTAATTTGTTTCTCTACAATGCTGGCTCTCGTTCGTCCCCACTTTGCAATCAAATTTCCCCCCCCCCCGGCTTCTCTTTATATATATACTAGAAGGGTACTCGTGTAAAACAGCGAGATACATCTTGATTTTAATATTTCATTTTATTCTTTATCTCAGTCGATGTTATAGTATGGTCTTATGTGATTTTGAAAAAAAAAACAATAATGTTTTTATTTTTGAATAAAATATAAATTTGAAAATATCATAAAAATTTGACAAAAAGATATCGATATTAGTATCAAATTAATTATTTAAACTTCCTATTTTTTGTGTAATTTTTAATTCAAATTTTTTTATTATAATTTAATTTAGGTTCAATAAGGAAGTAATTTATATTTGGTTTAATAATATAATTTTTTTATAAAGATAATAATTAATTATTTTGTTAGAACTTCATAATTATCTTAATTATATTTTAGATTTTTTATATTTTAAAATGATATGTTTATCCTCTATTTGATTATTTTTATCCGCAGTTAGTTACACGAATTCAAACATGGAGCTTTAATAAGTTGTACTTATGCATAATTACTTGTAATCTTGAATTTTAAGTAATATGCATCAATATACAGTACTTCATGCATAAAAATGTTTTTAAGAGTTTTTGTCAAATGCTTTTTAATATAGTATATATATATATATATATATATTCGTGTATACATCCATACATATTATATATTAGTTGAATGGTACTCGCACAATACAGCGAGATACATTCGATTTTAATGTTCTCTTTTATTATTTGTCTCGGTCGATGTTATAATACAATTTTATGTGTTTTTTTTAAAAATAATGATTTTATTTTTGAATAAAATATAAATTTGAATTTATCATAAAATTTTGAAAAAAAATATCAATGTTAATATCAAATCAACTATTTAAAAGTTTTCATTTTTTTGTAATTTCTTTAATTTATTTTTNTAATATAATTTTCTTATAAAGATAATAACTAATTATTTTGTTAGAACTCTATAATTATCCTAATTATATTTTAGATTTTTTATATTTTAAAATGAGATGTTTATTCTAGATTTGATTATGTTTATCCGCAGTTAGTCATACGAATTCAAACATGAAGTTTTAATAAGTTGTACTTATGCATAATTTACTTGTAATCTTGAATTTTAAGTAATATGCATCAATATACAGTACTTCATGCATAAAAAAAATAGTTTTTAAGAATTTAAGTCAAATGTTTTATAATATAGTATAGATATGTAGAGAACCATAGGGACCAAGTCCGTAATTTAGTCTAAAAAATAAACATTTGAAATTTATATAAGGGCTTTTTATGGAGTTATAGAATTTTTAAGGGGGTATTATGTAAGATGCAGTAAAGTATTAAAACCCCATGAAGGGATCGAAGAATGATTCAGAGGTTTTAAGAAAACAAGAAACCGTCAATTTGCCGTTTCCATTCTCATCCTCAATTTCTCTTACGCGGTTTCAATTCTCTCTCTCCTCTCACCAGATTCGTTGTGCATATCCATTTTCATCAGCTTAAACATTGGAGCTTCCTCCTCCATTTTAATCAATCCCGACTATCCAAGAATCAATTGGTAAGTCTCATCATCAAACTTGCATGTATTGCATCAATTTTCTGATGATTTAGCTTTTAGTTTGCGGATCAAATTAGACAGTGCTATGTATCAGTATCTATGGTCAGAATAATTGATGGTAATTGGAACCTAAATGACTGTTTCAACATCAATTTTGTTGAATTTAGAGAATATAGTAGCGATCAGCTGTATCAACGACAACTAGAACATTCTGGTACACACACACTAATATCATATCATCTTCTTGTTGGATAATTTTAGGCAAAACACATATATCAGTCATCTGTTTTCTGATTTTTAACGATCCACAAGGTTTAACTTTGTACGGTTCAGTCAGTTTAGTTTTCTCATTTCATCATGGTTCAATTTTGAATTGATATAGTTTTCCTAAAAATTGAAAGATTACGCTCATTTTTGGCACTTGCGGTTCTAGTAAACAATGCTTAGTAGATTGGGAAACTAGATTGATAACTTAAATCCTTCAAAATTAAACCACATCGATGATTGGTCTTTGGTTCTAACCAGTACTTGTTACTTCGAAACTCGCTGTTAACATATATGTATTTGTGACTGTTTAAAAAACTACAAAACCTGGAAAAAAGACAATTGTATGGCCTTTCCCTTGATGTTAATCTACCCCACATTCATGCACCCATGTGGTTCAGTGTACTTATTGTTCCTTTTATCCAGAGAAAGAGACGCAGTTGGACTTTTGTGGTCAAGTGGAATAAATTAGGCTTGCAATATGGAATTTTTACATTTTGGAGAGGCCTTTGATAACTACATAAAACTCTATAACTAATCCTACAAATAGAAAATTATGGATTTTTATCTAAAATAAACCAAGGTTGGTTGTGAATTTCCAAAGTACTAGTTTATACCTTGAAAAATGGAGGATGAATTGTCTGCTTTAAGATTTTATTGATGATTCCAATACTCAAAGCTATTCATTGATTTTTTCTGCAGTCTTAAGCTTTAAAACTAGAGGTATAAACAGTGGTAACCAGGGTAATAGGTGGTTTCATTTTATGGCTTCAAGCACTATTAGAAAGGCTATTGGTGTGGTTAAAGACCAAACAAGTATAAGCATTGCCAAAGTTGCTGGCAATGTAGCACCGGATCTGGAGGTGCTCATAGTAAAAGCAACAGGCCACGACAATGAACCGGCTGAAGAGAAGTACACAAGGGAGATCCTAAACCTTACATCTTACTCTAGAAGTTATGTGAGTGCCTGTGTTTACACTCTTTCTAAGCGATTGAGTAAAACGCATGATTGGATTGTGGCATTGAAGGCCTTGATGCTTATACACAGATTGTTGGTTGATGGGGAGCCTGCATTTGGTCAAGAAATAATGTATGCGAGCCGAAAGGGGACAAGGGTTTTGAATATGTCCGACTTTCATGATGAGGCTCACTCAAATTCTTGGGAGCATTCAGCTTTTGTGAAAACTTATGCTATGTATCTTGCTCAGAAACTTGAATTCATAGCATCTGAGCAAAAGTTAAGTGGTATCAATGACACTTCACGTTTTGAAGACGGGTATAGAGTTAATCAAGTGTCAAGATCCTATGATGATTTGAAAGAATCAGTTAGGCAAGGTGATAGGAAAGACATAGAAGTCGTGAGTTCGGTATGGGAAATGAAGACTGAGGAGGTTTTAGAGAGATTACATCAGTTGCTTCGCCTTCTTGATCGGGTCTTATCTTGTAGGCCCACTGGGAATGTGAAAAATAGTAGGATGGTGCTTATTGCGCTACACCTTGTTCTGAAGGAAAGTTTTAGGGTTTATGCTGATATGTTTCAGGCCCTGGGAGTTTTGCTTGATCGGTTTTCACAACTGGAGTATGCTATCGGCGTCAAGGCTTTTGATGAATCTGTTTATGCCGCAAAAACAATTGATGAGATTGTGGGTTTTTATAGCTGGTGTAAGGATTTAGGTGTTGCTAGATCATCAGAGTTCCCCAAGGTGCAAAAGATAACTGATGAACTTTTGGGAGGACTAGAGAGAGTCTTGAGGGAAAAGAAGAATGTGGAGAAAAACAAGGAAATAGAGAGTTTGGATAATGAAAGTGAAACATTACCTAATATGAATGAAATAAAGGCACTTCCTCCACCTGAAAATCACAATCCACCACCATCTCCACCACCGGCTGCCGCACTGCCGCCCCAGCCAACTGAAGACCTGTTGAATTTAAAGGATGATGTTATGTCAGCTGATGCTCATGGCAATAAACTGGCACTTTCTTTGTTTTCTGCACCTTCAAATGTCAATACCAATGGTTCATGGGAAGCTTTCTCCGAGCCTGAAGTGACGTCTGCGTGGCAAATACTGGCGGCAGAGGGTGGTGGAGAAGCCGATTGGGAAGTGGCACTGGTGGAATCCGCTAGTAATCTACCGAAACAGAAGGCTAACATGGCAGGCGGTCTTGATTCCTTACTGTTAAACGGTATGTATGATCACGGAGCAGTGAGACAACACATGAGCAATAGCCAGGTGAGTGGCGGCAGTTCCAGTAGCTTTGTGATGCCCGGACTGGCAGCAACACCCATGTTAGCATTGCCGGCACCGGATGGGACCATACAATCAGTGGGCCCACAAGACCCTTTTGCAGCATCACTCACAATTCCGCCCCCATCATACGTGCAGATTGCCGACATGGAGAAGAAGCACAATTTGCTTATGCAGGAACAACAGGCATGGCATCTATATGGAAGCAGTGGGATGCAAGGTGAAGGGGCATTTGCCAAGATTAATGCTGCTTACAGTGGTGGCATGGGGTATCAAAACGGGTATTATTATGCCCAATTTTGATCTAGTTTTTATGCATTAATAATATTTCCATGCTTTAATGCTCGTTGTAGACTGCCTCATATGCCATTTGCTCTTTATTCAGAAGACGGTATAAAAGAGAATTTGTGATAGTCTTGGGGTCTATTTACCTACTGCTGATGATTCAATTAGCATCAAGCATCAGCTGGTTTACCAATAGATTTGATTGATAGTGCTGACTGAACACTTGCTCGATCAGCATTTTTTTTTTATTAACCTCGATATCCAACCCACTATGCGAGCCGACTAATCCTGCTTTGCAGTCTTGCAGATAGCTTGGTCAGCATTATTATTTCGCTTACTGGGTCAGTACCTTATCTCTCAAGAAAACAGATAAAAAAATTTCCATCATAAATTGGTTAAGATGCAGGAAGTACCAGAAAAATATCAATAAAAAATACAAAATTAAACTGAAATTTCCAAAGTTAAGAGGACATATGAACAAAACCCAGCTAGCATGTGAAGAAGTGGTAAAACAAAAAAAAACACATTTTCATCGTATCTGCTCTGTTTTCTTTCACAAAACTGTTCAAAAGAGGTGATTACGTTGTAGTATTTAGTTTTGATCCGTAAATATCGAAGCCGCGACAATCTTCAATGATTCGCATGCTTTCTGCAGATCGGAATCTGTGTGAGCAGCTGAGACATACATTCTGATCCCCACGGGCAGATTGCATTTATCGACCATCGATCTTTTTGAAGGTGCTACAAAAACCGAGTGTTCCTTCAGTACCTGCAATTTAAGTAACCATTAACACAGATCTCCTTCCGTTTATGGGTCCCGTCATCGTTTCTTATTACACCATCTATAACTCGGACCCTGAAGATGAAAATGATAAAAGGACCAAAACAAACAAGATGCATTCAAGTCTTTCAGGATCGGTAACACTTACAGTACTCCCTCCTTCCGAAAATAAATATCCATAATGAAAAATGTACACAATTTAACTAAAGCGAAAAGTTAAATAAAAATCCAACAAACATTCATATTTTGAGTGATTAAGTTACTGAACTTTTTTTAACAAACAATTCCTTTAAACGTTTTTAAACCGAAGAAACCCAAGGAACTTTCATATGAATGATTTAAGTTCTTATTCAAAATTTTGAACCAATTCCTTACACTTATAAAACGAAAAATTCTCTATCGATGTATCAATATATCAGTATTAAAGTACAATAAACCAATAAAAAATAATGACTTAATACCATTTTCATGATACATTATTTATTTCTCAGATTCAAATGACAATCACAAGATCATATTGAACACCTTCGATTATCATTTCAGTCTGAAAAATAAATAATGGTTAATAGAAATAGTGTATTTTTCCGTTCTGTTGGTTCGTTGGACTTTTCTACTGATTTGTGATACATGGAAAGAGAAATGATATATTTCTTTCGTTTTATAAGTGTAATGATTTATACATTCAAAAAATTGTTGAAAGATTTAATTTCTCAAAATATGAAAGTTCGTTGGGTTCTTTTTCTTTTAATAAGTTCAAGGATTTATTTGTTCGATTTCAAAAAGTTATAAGGATTTTTTGGTTAAAAAAATAGTTTGGGACTTAATCACTCAAAATGTGATAGTTCGTTGAGTTTTTTGAACTTTTCCCTTGACTAAATGACAATTTTACCCTTAATAATAGAAAGAGCAAACATCTCAATCTGATAATTAAGAGCGGAATTGGAAAGTGGAAACTTCCTTTTGAAAGTGGAGGAACAAACTAAAATAGAAATACGGACACTTATTTTGTATGACATGATCCAACAATGCATCTTGCTTAACAACACTTACACGATCAGCAAGATCTTCGAGCAATTGAAGATCGCTCTTCAAGGACCCTGTGGGTTTTTGTAGTTTGAGGAAAACAAGGGGTGACATGAAATCGCTTGCAAGTTCCAGGCCTGGTATTCCCGACAATCCTGCAATCATATTATTAGGTCCTATTGAAACATGTACTAAATGGGGCAAGTTTTTAGCATCAAATCTGGTACAAAATCATATGCAAGAATTCGTTATGTGGTATATCCCATGAAAATTGTAATGCTGTCAATATTAGTCAAAGAATGTGGTAAAACCTCTTCAATATGAAGACAAAATAGTGAGGATCATCTGGAGCTGTTATGATCAATATAATTTTGCCACTCAAAAGGAATTATTGCAATTTTCATGGGAGATCCGAAAATACGAAATACTATAATCTTTATCAGACAAAAGGAGCAATTCGTATTAATGATGGAGACACAAACCTGCGCTTAATGTTTTGGAATTATCTCTCAACTTTGTTATGAGTTGAGGATTTTCCTGTATGACATCAATAGCAGCAATTGCAGCACTTGCCAAGTATGGGGGCAGAGATGCAGAAAAGACATAACCAGAGCTGCTGAGGCGCTACAGAAACAGGGGGCAGTTTATGAGCTTTGGAACATCAGTCCTAACATACTGCCTTTCCCCTAAGTTGAGTTTGGTATGCGGAAAAGGATGGGCAAGAGTGAGGTAGGTGGATGAAAGAACTGTGAAAAGTTTTCGAGTTTCAATTTGACATGGGTATTTTTGTAATTTACCATCCCCCAGAGTTTTATTGCAAAAATGCATTTTTGTCCCGCTCACCTCTTGTCCTGTCCAGTCTAATGTCATGCCAAACGTGGGAAAACAAGTTTTTATACTATCCTGTTCCACTTAACAAACGCACCCTAAAGAGGTATGCTTATGAGTTTTCAGTTTCAAATTGGAAAAATAGAGCACATTTGTTCCATTTGTGGTGTGTCACAAAGTTTGATGTATTTATGAGCATCTTTCTTGAACTTTAACAAACCCATAGTCATTTCGAAGTTAAAGATAGTCCCATTGACCTCAAATGTCAAACATGTATGTTTTAAGTTGATATAATGAATGTAAGGGTACTTGTACATACTTGGTGATCAATGACTCTGTGACTTCCGGTGCAAAATCCACCTTCTGAGGCCAATGCATGTCCCATGGCGGCAGTTATTATATCTATTTTATCGATCTGCAATAATAAGACCAATATCACCCTTTTCTACTTCAAACAGAATAATGAACGCTTAGAAGCCAAGGAGAGAGAAAGAGAGAGTAAATACCGGAACATGGTAGTGTTCAGTTAGACCTCTACCAGATTTGCCAAGCACACCAAAAGAGTTGCTCTCATCTAATAGAACACGAAACTTGTACTTCTCCTTCAGTTGGATAATCTCATCCAGTGGGGCAATTTGACCAGAATTCTGAACATTTCAATAATTTATATTAAAAAATATAACAAACTATCTCTCTGTTTCTATCTCTATGTGTGTGTGTGTGTGTGTATATTTAGGGATGTAGACAAGATGGGCTAGCTCATGAGCCAACTTGTCAAAAAGCTTGGTTAGCCGTTAGCCCAAGTGATCGCATTTGGCTAGGCAAGCCAAGCTCAAGCTTAAACAAACCACAACATAAATTTTTTAGCTGAAGAGTCTTAGCGTCTTCAATACTCATGATTGTAACTTTTTGGAAAAAAATTATTTATTTGAAGTGTTATACTTTTTACTTCTATATGGGCCCATATCAACCTTAGAGGAGCCAATTTAAGCATTGCAAGCCATGAGTTGGTACCGAGCCTGCGTATTGTTTTATGGGCCAAAACGACTCTGCTCTCCTCAGATGCACCCATATCCTTATTTCTACAATAATGAGTTTAACAAGCCAACTTTAGTTCTCCCCATGGACTGTGAGTAAAACCTATGAGCTTACTGCTAGTCCAGTGGCCAAGTAAATCAGAACCGAGTTCAATTAAAAAAACCATAATCATAATTTACTAAAAATACCTGATATACAGCTTCCACAACGATGTAGCGTCTCAGTTTCTTAGCTCGCTTATTGTCTTGAGTGACTTTCTCTAGTGTACTTCGTAGAGACTCCATGTTGTTGTGCTTGAAATATACGATAGTGCTTCTTGACAAGTATAAACCATTCTGTATCCCCCAGTGAACGCCTTCGTCTCTAGAATAACAAATTGAACTTGTATAAGAGAGATTATTATACGTAGAGCTTCAAAACTTGCAAGCGATGTTTGTTAATCCCAAGTTCAGATAGATATAGTGAAAAATGGTAGGTCTGTAAAAGGTGTCATTCCGTGATTATATGAGAGTATTTATTTGTTTACGTCATTTTATTTAGTAGGTAGGCCACTGGTCTCGTGGCTCATTTGCTAACTGTTAACAATAAGAAAAATTCTTTTGGCCCAAGTATCTTACCCTCCGATACTACATACTCCTAGGCCAAAATGTTGAAATAATTGACTTTATAGTCAGCCAAATTACTTTATTGGATTCAGAATTCATAGTCTTGGAGGAAAAGAAGGTACTATCTTATGACTATAAAAGTACTACTAACAAGTAATAACAGTTTTAGATCCAAAAAGAAAACGGGATAACTTCAAAGTCAAATTGTATCTTAAATTTTGGGATGGAGGTAGTCCAACTCAGCGAAGAGCAAAATATCAAATAGCGAAAGAATGTATACTTACACAATAACAATATCTCCTTTCTTACAAAATGCTGGAATTGCACTGAACATAGTTGAGAGTCCATAAGAATATAGTATGGAATCAGGAGTTCCCAAAAACTCTGCTATTCTGGTTTCGCAGTCAAGATGAACATCTAGATAAGAGAGAAAAAGTCAAAAGAGTATCTCCAGAGGCTCTCGAAAACTTACAAGCACTTTATAGTTTAAAAAGAAGATTATTTGCATTGCTAGTAGCTTTATACCAATGGTCCCATAAAATTGACGAGGACCACAAGAACCAACACCATATTTCTCCAGGGAAGAAGTACATGATTCCTGCCATATCGAAATTATATAAATAAAACTATACACAAACAATATTCTCCAGGGAAGAAGTACATGATTCCTGCCATATCGAAATTATATAAATAAAACCATACACAAACAATTATGTTACATAACAGAGCCAGGTTACTTACAAGTAACTTCTCGTGTCCCATTAATCCTAGGTAATTCGCTGAAGCAAAATTAACCACTTCTTTGCCATTGATTATTGTATGTGGTCCTGCAGCACTGGATGTAGTGCAACTATTACAATGATGTATGTGTAATATATGTTTTGTGTTTGTATGGTTGGCATATAAAAAATTTCAGAATATTACATGAACGGATCACAAATAGATGATTTTGAAAATTTTAAGCTAAAAAGACAATGTGCAATTTCATATCTTGTCACCCACATGCTTGGATAACTTTGTTTAGGTCTTTTAACATTCAACATTTTCATTTTGTCTTACATGGTGAGAGGAGAAATGAAGATGTGATGAGATCGGACCAATAAAACGGAGAAAATGGAGAACAAAGGTAAATGGTGTACACAAATGGCATCAAGTCAAGCCAATTTTTCTCAAATTCAAAATTGATATGTAACATATTTATATAAATGTGGTAGGCACCATAGATCCTACTATAGTTACTAATCAAAATATTCATGACAGAAATTTGGATATATGTCCATTTGACCCAAAAAGAGTCTAAGGGTATCGTTTGTTTTAGCACAGTGGCCCTAGAACTGAAAGGGAACTATGTATGTATATGTCTAAGTATGTGTGTGTATGTATATATATGTATGTGTAAACGTGTGTGTATGTATGTGTGTATAATATATGTACAAGCATACAAATGTATATATGTGTGTGTCTGTATACACACATGTATCCAGATACGTTTGTATGTATGTAAGCATATATGTACACACACATATATATACATACATACATAGGTGAAGGATCGTGTGAGAAGGGAAGTTATGTTGAGAAGCGTAAGAATAGATCTGAACCCTTGATCACTTTTAATTTCATGCCCACCCATGAATTAAGCTTTAGAAGGGAATTGATCCGATGCACCTCGGTGTACCTCATTAGTGTTGGCATTCAATTAGGATTGATCCAAGGGTGGAGATCTCTTCTTACGCTTCTCACCGTAACTTCCCCTCACCGGAACCCAACCCTATATACATGTGTATATGTATGTATATATGTGTATGTGTTTGTAGAGGAAGAAAGAAAGAGGGAGAGAGACCTTAATAGTACTGGAACTTCCTTTTTCATCTCTTCTGTTACAGGTGGGATAAGAGACTCTGGTACCCATTCATCACAAAGCTCATCTATCTCCTACAAGCATCATAAAACAAATTAAAAAAGTCAAAATGAGACATCAAGTAAAAAAAAACAGAGTCAAACCTTGGTCGTTAAAGGGCGTTTTGGTGGCTTGTAACTCTTCTGAGATAGTAAGAAGATGATAACTACTAGGAGTAGACCTTCCACAAATAGATGGCCTATAAGTCAACAAAAAAGAAAAGGTCAACCTCAGTATTATAACCTATAGTGGCCAATTAACAAAGACTTCTATCAAAAACATACCTCCAATGTGCACTCCAAAAACAACAGCTCGAGCAAAAGGCACATCATATGCAAATGTGATCAGTTCGGATGCATTTTTCAAAGAATTCATTAAGACAGTTGGAACATAACTTGTCAAGTCCATCTTGCAATTAAGATCTCATGCAGGAAAGGCGTCTCCTTTTTAGTGCAATATACCCGAAAAACGACCTCGGTTCCCGACAGTAGTCAACAAATTTATTTGGATGCAAACGGTAGGTACAAGCTATGGGCCCAAGGATACTGTATAACCCAATGATGGTTAGTATATGGAATATAAGTATTAAGAGACAAGACATCTATTCAATAACAAAATTATAGCTATTCATTTTGTATTCAGGGTACTTGTTATACTTTCTGATATAATTACTAGATTCTATCTCAAAAATCAGAACATATTTATCAGTTTCAAGACCAAAAAGAGTATGTAGACAAACAATGTCAAAGCACCACAATTAACAATGTCAGATGGAGTATTAGTTTAGTCCAATTTACTTTATTCTTAATAGCTAAAATAGATCCACCCTAAAGAAAAAAGATTGAAATAGAGAGAAAACAATCATAAATGCATTCAATAGAACGGTAATTGAAATTTGAGAGTTTATATGTGCCATAGAGCAATTACATAGAAGTATTAGGATATTACTAAATTTTAAGCTACTTCACATATGGATATGGGAGCAGGATACCAGATCCACAGTGTTATTACTTTATGGCTATCTACAAATAAGTTTCTATTACAAAATTGATGAATTTTGTTGATTACAAATAAACAAATCCTAACTTTCAACACAAAACCACTTGGTTCATTTCGACCAAAGGCTCTACTGATCTTACAGAATTGATAAATTCATCATACATAATAACAATGGTTCACGATCGAATCAACAATTAGAAGATACAAATGTTCATATGTGGATTAAGCTGGACGATTTCATACTTATTTAGCAAAAACAACAACAATGATGAGAATTTATTCTTCAATTCATTCAACTTGCAGTAAGTTCAATAAGATACTTTTGACATTTCTATTATTAATCATGATCAATATTATTGTTGTTATTAAGATTGTTTGGTTGGTTTTCCATTAAGTTCTATACTTCTATATGGATAAAGTTGTCTGTGATGATTAATTTGTCTATATCAATTGGGAAGGTTTTGTTTGGGAGGATTTTTTTCATAGATGAGAAGGGCGTGTTTTTTATTAGGTCGGTATAAAGCTTATCAAATAAGCCACTTTCTATATCATTAAGCCACTACCAAACAGTCATAGAAGTGTTGGCTGAATAAGCTGCAAGTCCCAATTAAGCTCATTAAGCTGCTAGCAAACAGGCTCTAAGTATGAAATCGTCCATCTTAATCCAGATCTGAACATTTGTATCTTCTACTTGTTGATTGATCGTAAACCATTATTATCATGTATCATGGGTTTATCAATTTTGTACAATCAGTAGCCTTTGGTCAAAATGAAGCAAGTGGTCATGTGTTGGAAATGAGGATTTGTTTCTTTATAATGGACAAAATTCATCAATTTTGTAATGGAAACTTATTAGTAGATAGTCATAAAGTAATAACTCTATGGATCAGGTATGGGACTTTGGTACAGTTACTTCAATATAAGTTCCATCTATTGCTCCTAGACAACCCTATACACAAAAAATAAATAGATTTTAGCTAAAAGATGGACGTTACATTATGTAATGTATAAGTAATATTACAATAATTACCTTAAACCATTTCCATCGTGAATCCATACATTCATCCTCTATAGGAGTTGGTTTGACAAGAAACACGTCTTCCAAACACAATATAGCACACAACACTCAATGAACATACCGACTTATTGTTTCCCCGACCTATAGAACCTAACTTGGATAGCTCTATTCTTAATGTGCGGGCTAATATGTTTATAGATATAGCAACTTGCTCATCGATTGCCATATTACCATAATCTAATAATCCAACGAGTTTTAAACAAATCACACACTATTTCAAAAGCATTTATATCCATTCGCAACTCATTTATACAGTTTGCATCACTTTACCGTATAATAAGTTGTATTTCGGTTGATTTCATTTGGAGTTTAGTGAATGTTCTTTGGCCCAAAGTTTCTCATTCATTATGCATATTCTCCAATTCAATTAACAAAAACGTAAGGGACACCATTTGAATGTAAATATTCCATAAGTTAAAGAGTACAACCAAGTGATTCTGTTCCATTACTACAAATTCATAAAACAAAACAATAGTCAAAATCCACAGTAGCATCATATATTCAATAATGAAATAGAAACGAAATTCACAGTAGCATGGAACTCAAAAACCATGGAAAACAAAATTCACAGTAGCATCATATATTCAATAATGAAATAGAAACAGGGGAAATCAAAAACCATGGCAAACAGAATTCATAGTAGCATCATATATCGTTGGGTCCCACCCCATCTCACCCATATATTGTTGGTCCATAGGAAATCGAAAACCATAGAACTCAGAAAACCATGGAAGTTGAAATCGAAGACCATGAAACTCGAAATCAAAGAAGCTGAGAAATCGAAATCGAAATCGAAATTAAAATCGAAAATCAAGGTTAAGAAATCGTACCTGGAGAGATCGAGATTGAAACTGGGGAAGAAGCGATAGCCTGGAATTGACTAGGGATTAGTTTATGTATCATATGTTATATGTTATAAAAAGGGTGTTACAAATGATGTTATGATACAGAGGTGTTTGGACAACTTATTCACGTCTGTAATCAGTAATGAGTAATTTTAAGTGTTTTGGACAAATAATTTATATCGGTGTCAAAACAACAATAGGAAGTTTTTAAAGAAGTTAAACATTTTTTATTTATAATAAATTAGTATGAGAACAGCATGTTGTGCAGTAGTATGAGTACTTTGATTAATGATCTGATGATTGTCTATATAAATATATATTAATTATTAATAGAATCATCAACAAATTATATTCAAATAATTCGAAAAAAGTTAACTAAAATATAGTTAGTGAAATTTTAATATTTACATATATATATATATATATATATTTTTTTTTTGAAAGAGAGAGATTTGTTTAGTAATAAGGATGTAAAACTAAATAAAATGAGTAATAATAATAACGGGAATATTAAGAAATTTGATACAAACTCAAGAATAAAAAATACTCCACGTAAATATATGTCTCCTTCAAAGGATGATGTACATGTACCATTTTTCATCCTCAACACACACCTTGACTTTAAAAACACAATAGTGAATAGACTAATTATACGATATGTAAAAAATTACATACCAAACTTAAGGCTTCAAATCTTTATAACCCAATAGATAAAATTATAATGCAATCAAAATCACAACATGAACATACATAAAATTATAATACGACTAAACTTACGATAAGAACATACTTAAAAATATAATCCAATCAAAATCTTGATACAAACATACATAACATTATAATACACTCTAAATTACAAAACAAACTTGCATAAAATTCTTACCTTAGATCATAATCATAAATTCCCACAACCCAAACTTGAAAACTTCAAATTTTAAAGACTTGATATATAAACGTTAAAGAACTCGAAAACCTGCAAACCAAAAAACGTTCAACATAAGTAAAAATTACATAGTGAACTTGAATATTTTTTTATCATTGCCTAATACATAAGAGTTATATTGCAAACAAAAATCACGATACAAATATAAATAAAATTATAATGCAATCAAAATCATGAAACAAATCAATATAAAATTATTACCTTATAATGCAACAAAAAAAATCAAATATTGAACTTGAAAACTTCTTCAAATCTTCATGACATAATGCATAAAAACTATAATGCAATCTAAATAACGATACAAACATACATAAAATTACGGGAGAAGTGAAAAAAACAAAAAAAAACCTATGAATATCATTAATAGTAAAATAGAAGAAAAACCAAAGAGAAAGAAAATAAATTTAGAGATGTATAGGATTGAGATAGAAGTTGAGAGGGTGTGAGAGAAAAACCAAGAGATGGAGATAGAGAAAAATAGATTGAATGATGAACAATTCATGAAGAAAAGTTAGGGAAAATGAAAGGATTATGTTAAATGTAAACGTAAATGAATAATCAATGTTTATAAAAATTAAAAAAAAAAGATTAAAAAATGATGAATGAAAAAAAAGATAAATAAGTTTCTAACATTTAGGAGAAGCCATGTCATCAACCTTGGTTTCTCCTTTAATATATATATATATATATATAGATTGATAACTGCTTTTATAGAAAAACATAAATTATTTCAAATAAGCAATCTCAAACACCCGGTTCCCGTAAAACCTTTAAATGAAATTGAAAATAAAATAAATTGTTTAATAAAACGTTAGATTTATATTTTTAGAAGTCATTAATTTTTATTTTTATTTTCATTTTTCATGTTATCCAATGATATATCAAATATGCTCTCTTTTTTTCAAATTTTACCATGTTGATCGAGATATCAAGCACACCCTTATACACGCATGTTATAAGTTGTTTATATGCTTTTTGTCTCATTGCAGAATATTTTTTTAGGGCCACATGGATCATGAATAAATTAAATAAGAGCGATCCATTTTGGATATATGTCATCAACTAACGAATAACCCACATGATACGGTTTTCATTTGATAACATAATTAGCAGGAGGAGCACAACATGCTACAAGATTTGCAAAAGATATGGGAGGACTCCAGCACATTAATGTTATTGTTGGATCCCAATAAAAAAAATGCATGTCAAATCCAAAGATCATAATCAACTATAGCTTCCAGAATGATATTTAGAGATTTACTACGACCGAAATATTGTTCTCCGCAACCCGTTGGACAATTATTCTATTTCCAATGTATACAATCTATACTACTCAACATTTCTAGAAATCTCGTTGTTCTCCAATTTGGAGTAGTTATGGCACATCATTAACATTGGATGTTCGTGGATACCGGTCCCCAAACACTTATGCGGTTGCACGACAAAATCGTTTCAAAGCTTCTAAAACCGTGGATTGACCTATTTCGATATACTCGTCTGTAGAATTTGCGGGACACCATATGCCAACATTCGAAATACAACAGTTACTTTTTGTAAACCAGACAATCCAAGTTTGCCGCATCCATCCCTTCATCAGACAAAGTGGTTGTCATGACTTTGTATAACATCGAAAAAAAAAAAGTATGACTCATTTGGAATCGTCTACGAAACATTGACTCAAGAAATCGAGGATTTTCAGAAAAATAATCATATGAAGAGATTGCGATCAACATTTTCCCGATCATGATTGATAATTATATGGCTAGGAATAGAACCTCAATAAGATACCCAGTTGTTTTAAAAATAACTATGGATATAATTATCCATTTTTTTATGCTAGATTGATTGCCTCACTTATTAGTTCAACATTAATATTATCAAAAGTCTCATCGACTAAATACGAATTATCAACCATTTGAGGATGAAATGAAGATTGATATTTCTCAACCAAGAAAGATATAAAAGAAAGTTAAGATATTTTCCTTTTATAAACGTGCTTCAAGTTTTATAGTGAAAAACCAATCCTTTTCAATGTGCTATCAATTATATTTTCTTATCAGAATTTTTATAAGAATCTTATCAGAATTTTCAGTATGTTGTCAACTCTGTTTTTTATCAGAATTTTCAGAAGGATCTTATCAGACTTTTCATATATGTGGAGAGTAAATCTCAACCATTGAAATAATTTGACCAAATTTCAATTGTTGCAGTACGTTGTCTAATCTAACTTTATATATCAGATTTTTTGTATTGAAATGAAGATATTATTTAGGGTGAAGTGAAATTTTTTTATATAAATAATGGGTGATTCAGCAAGCTAAATTACACACATATAATCTTCAGCTTAGTTTTCTATTAACCTATCTATACTATATTATAAAGCATTTGACAAAAACTCTTAAAAACTATTTTTTATGCATGAAGTACTGTACATTGATGCATATTACTTAAAATTTCAGATTACAAGTAAATTATGCA